GTAGGCAGAGAGGGAGAAGAGGACAACAAACGAGGGGCTGTGACAAACTGTTTCGTCGGAGTTTCACCAACTCATCAGGAGGCTGAACCCTCAACAGTCTGTAGAATCCCCTCACTGATTACACTATAAGTGATAATCCACCTTAACCAAAATATCACTCACCCACAAAAACTCTACAGACTGTCGGTTCACACCCCATCACAAGCCAGCAAAACACCCACGAAACAAAGAAAGGTCTGTCATATATATATATATATATATTCTCGATTATTGTTTATAAAAAAAAAAGTGCTCATGCACACTTCTTAGCTGCCACATTTTGGGTTTTGCGTGTGGTGCAGCATGATGTGGAACCAAGCCCGAAGTGGGGGGAGGGGGCGCGAGGGGGGGCTCCGCCCCCCCCCCCTCGTACTTGAATTAAAAAAAATAAATACATATATTCCTTAGTATATATAAAAATCAAAACATTCATGCTCACTTCTTAAGGGCCCGGTGCGGGTTTGGTGGGTGGTGAGTCAAGATCTTGACACAATGTTCATGATTGACTAGCCTCTCTGCTCTTTTACGTGCGGGGATTGCCCGCACCGCCCGCACCGCGGGCGCTAAGCTAGTATAATATGTATACAGCGTACAAGTGGGCGATTACGGCACATAGGGATGCGCAGCGCGCACTCAACTTCATCAACGTGGCGAGCCTTGTATGTTAGAGGCACGGTGAAGGGGAAGTTAAAAGAAGAATGAGAAAAATGAATGGTTTCAGTGTGCCCCTCATCTTTGTCTTGATTTTTAATATTTACCATTTGTTTCGCCAAGTGTGCGGTACACCACATGGGCTTGGAGGCATCAGAAGTATAGGTGACAGTGTTAAATCAGAGGGAGATTAGAGGGTGAAGCAAAGGCCACAGCGCCCCAGGCTCACAAGCATATCGGACAGCAAGTAGCTGAGAAAAGCCCAAAGGCTTCGAGCCTAAACAGTAGATCAGAATTGTCTTCAAGATCAGAGGAGTGGTGGCATGTGGCAGTGAACAATGGTGCAGTAGCAACAGGCTAGCTTAGGCAGGGGTGAGGGGAGGTATATCCTTCCAGAATGGAGGTAATCAATGGCGCCCCATCAGGTCTCCCAACCGTAATGGGGAGAAGCGTTCTGAGCATGTTGTACATTGGAACCTTGATTTGCAGTGGAACAGGAACCAGCCCGATGCTCCCCAGGATGGAAAAGGAGCCAGGGCCATAAGGCCCTGTTTGCCTGTCTTTTTTAACTAAAAAAAAAAAGAATGGAACAGGGGTAGAGCAGGAGTAAATCCTTCTGTCCAAGGAAGGAATCGCTGTCATTGGGTCAAGGTCCCCTGACCATAACGGAGGGATCTGAGATGGAACATGGAAAGGGCCACTCTGGAAAAACGTTTTTTTCTGACTAACCTGACGGGTACCAGGGATTGCCAGTAAGGACGAACACATGTTGGCACCAGCCAAATAAAGCCTTCCTCCTGCGCTTCAGCAAAGGTGGGACTTATGTACCATTCAAACTGCCCACTTGTCGGCTGGCGCTGGATATGAGGGGCAATCTGAGTGAGAACATCATTGAACATCACCCGAGGTCCCACTCCAACCCTCTGCAGTTCCTCCATACCACAGTTCTGTGTTCCCACACCCAAGCTGACACCTTCTGTCCATGCTGCCGTCCAATCAGCACACGTGGGTGCAATGCTTTGATACATCTGACGGGCTAGAATCATGAAAGCTGAAGACATCCATGGTGAAGACAAGGGCACAACTCCTTCCACATGTTGAACTGCCATGGCCACACATTCCATTGGTTCATCCCTCGGATGATAATGAGCACAAACATTAATAATGCATCCCCCCAGACTTCCAGTCATTAGCTCCATCACCATGCATTTGCGAATCCATTGTGCACGATCTTCCACACCGAAGGCCTGTAGGGTCTGGAGATGGTGGCGCACAACGACCCACCACCACAGCATAAGAGGCTACCATGAGTCCATGACTGGTGCTGCGGTGCGGTATGAGCAAAGGAGAAAGATGCCAGGCACGTGCATTAACGAGGAAATGAAGAGCGGGCGGAGGAAACAGTTTACCATGGAGAAAACATAAGAAAACGGGACGGCAGTGTGTGACAGCACCGCCGGTACTGTGGAAGCGGGCAAATGGGGCTTGCATGAGCTGCTGCTGTCGCACGGGTCAACCATGTAACACACACTGTCAGGACAATGTGATGATCCACCGCAACAGGAACTGTGCCCCCATGGGCTTTTTCTAGAGTCATTGAGGTCGCCTTCACATTTCACTTTCCATTGATGGCGGCCTTCGTCCTGACAGGGCGAACCGGAGTGGTTTCCAGGCGCCTAAGAGTGGGGTCCACCCTTAAGAAAGCTGGCGAATGAATGTGCCAATCCTCTTCCTGATGAATAGCCGGCGCACTGCTCACTACATCTATTTATGGGTTGGCAGGAACTATTCTTTGGTTTCTTTTTCTGGAGGCAGTCAGCACGACGCGGAAAGCTGACAGCTGAATTTTGGAGGAGATGCTATCTGAATGATGGTCAATGTTGAACCGAGTGGAATACAGGGACAACAAGAGCTGGGAGAGGGAAAAAAACAGAATAGCAGTAGTAGCAGTAGTAGCAATAGTAGCAGTAGTAGCAGTAGTAGCAGTGGTAGCAGCAGCAGTGGTAGCAGTAGCAGTAGCAGCAGTAGCCGTAGTAGTAGTAGCAGTAGTAGTAGCAGTGGTAGTAGTAGTAGCAGTGGTAGTAGTGGTAGTAGTGGCTGGGAGGGGAAAAAAAGGAGAATAGCAGTAGTAGCCGTAGTCGCAGTAGTAGCAGTGATACCAGTAGCCGTGGTAGCAGTAGCAGTAGCAGTAGCAGTAGCAGTAGCAGTAGCAGCAGTAGCAGTAGCAGCAGTAGCAGTAGCCGTAGTAGTAGTAGTAGTAGCAGCAGTAGTAGCAGTGGTAGTAGTAGCAGTAGTAGTGGTAGTAGTGGTAGTAGTGGTGGTAGTAGTGGTAGAAGTGGTAGTAGTAGCAGTGGTGGTGGCAGTAGTGGTACTAGGAATAGCAGTAGTAGGAGGAGTAGCAGCAGGAGTAGCAGCAGTAGTAGTAGTAGGAAGAAGAAGGAGCAGCAGGAAGAGGACGAAGAAAGAACAAGTAGAAGAAGAAGCTAGGCAGCTTAAACACTTGCACCTATCTACATCTACATGCAATGAATCGCAGGTTCGAGCAGGCTGTAAACTAAGTAGCCAGGTTTTCTTCTGCAAATTCGACTGGGCTACCAGACCCACCCGGCCGTGCAGCTGCCAGTGCGACTTGGACCCTCTTGCCCGGGTCACCCCGGTGAGTAAAAAAAATAGTCAAAACTTTTTTTTCCCCCCCTGATCATGGGGCATTTTTGCGCTCTCCGAGAGCGACCCAAATCCGGTCTTTTTTGTTTTTTGGTTCATGTCATGTTGGGGGGGGGGGTAAGGGCCTTAAAGGTGGGGTAAGGGCCTTAAAGGGGCTTGAAAGGGGTTGAAAGGCCTTTAAAGGGTGTTAGATGATTTTCCTTTCATTATTATTTTTTTTTTTTCAAATTCTGTGAAGACTTTGGAAGTGGCCCTCAGCCAAAAGTTGTTTGGTTTGCTATTCTGCACAACATACTTTTTTTCGTTTTTTTTTTTTTTTGTGGGATATGGGCCGGGACCCCGCCCGGCCCAGTTGCCTGGCCGGGCATCCCGGGCAGCACGGCTAGTAGCCCAGCTTTCAAACGATATTCTTTACAGTCTGCGGATCATATATCTGTCGATTTCCAAATCACTTCTTACCACACTCATCTTCGTTTGCAAAGCACACTTCCACATATGTTGTGCCTGAGGACAGTCAAAGCAGCAATGCAGCACATCCGCTGCAGCCCTAAAATGGTGGCGTTTGTATTGAGCTGCTTCTACGACCTATCTTCCGTTTTCTTCAGCTGGTGGCATTTGTATCGAGCAGCATCTACAACCTATCTTCCATTTTCTTCCTCTCACTCAACCACTGATTGAAATCTATACTCCATTTCCTTCCTCTCAATTCGACCACTGGCTCACTGAGACTGCTAATTTACCATTGTAGACTTCTAATTTGTACTCCTGAACCCAAAGGAACTTGACGATCATAAGTTCCTCAAGAATCCCTCAGTCACCAGCAGGAGATTCAGAGCAGGAGTTGGACTGGAATGTGCATAAGGTGCACTTCACAGCTTCACAGGGAAACAATTGAAACTTTTGACAGCAAAAGTGAGACGAGCTCTTTTATTATGGACTTACCTGCCTGACGAACTTCAACATTCGAGAATGTACCAACAAGGCTATCTGCTCCAGGACTATGCATCATGACTGTTGCACCAAACTGCATCGCTTGGCTGTCGCTACTTCCTTCAATCACAACATTCCTGCTCAACACTGCTACCTCAGCACGCACATCAAGGGGCTGTCCTTCGATTGTAAGAACTTGTCCAACATGGGGAAACTGCAGGGGAGAGTCCAGTACCAGCTGTGTTCCATTTTGGCGTATATCAATAATCTGAGCAGTATCCACCTCAGTAGGGACAAAATTAGAGGGTGCAATGGCTACCTCATCACCTATCTCCCAGTTAACAGACTCAGAAAGGGAGACTGTGGTGTCACCGGGGCTTGCAGTTCTGTTGAGGCGAGTCCATGAGGGCACCTTTGGCTTTCCGTGCATCATTAGTTTTCCATATCGTACTGCAATGACCTTCGCGCCATAGATGGGCAACTCTTGACACTCTGTGTCACACCTGAGCGTGATTGTGGCCTTGTGATTGAAAGGATTTTCTGGCGTTCCCACCACCAAACTACCACTCCTTATCACAATCCATTTGGCACTGAGGGACACATCAGTCGTATCATCAAACACAACATCTCCCTCAATGATGACGAGTTCCAGCTTGGGTGTGAGCATGTCAACGTACAATGTTGTGTTTGCAGGGACATAAACTGAATCTCCTTCAATTGGAAGGAGACTGTTCCCCCACGTCGTCCTGCTGCTCCAGACATCAATGTACTGAAAGATCACGGCTTGAGTTCTATTGAACGTTCCCCAGTCAATGTTCTGTCTAGGGCTCGAGGTAGCATTGGGAGCCAAATCTGCCAAAGAATGACCTTTCCCCGATACATCAACCCACACTCTTCCATTCAGGCGAGTACCTTTGCTTGGCCCTGTTCTGCAGTATATGTGTGTGTCATTCATCGGGGAAACTATGGAGCACGGAGCCTCGTCAATGTAAGCCTTCACATCCTCAGCAACATTCCCAAATCCTTCTCCAGTAATGAGGACAAGATTGTTGCCTGCAGTTGTTCCTCGGTGAGGTGTGATGGTGTAAACAAATGGTGTGGCTTCACCAGAGTACTCAAATGTCCCAAACGTTTCAGCTGCACCATGGAAATTGTCGCCTATCCACACCTGCAAGCCAACAGTTCATGGCGTTATAACTTTGCCACTCTACTTCTACATGTATCTTCTGGTTCTGCTCAATATCTTATCATTTTCTCGCATACTGATACATCAGCAGCATGGCCAGACTGTGATCCCTTTTCCAAATTCTTCTGGTACTGATTTCTGGTGAAAGAATTTTTTTTTTTTTTTTTTTTTTTTTTTAACCAAAAAAAGCTCCAATTTATTTGTGGGGAGAAGCACGTGCTGGGAACCGGGCCCAGCGTCCCATATGGTTTTGGAAGTAAGGCTAAGAAACGAAAACATAGACAAAATTCAGGAAACAACTCAGAAACCCCCCATCAATCCCCTTCACCTCACTCCGGCAAGACTTACCACAGCAGAGCCACCATCTCCGCTGCTGATATACCCTATTTCCATCCCACAAGCTAGGCCCCTCACTTTGATTGCCCTGATTTCCAGGGGATTGACTGAACAGGTGAACTTTCCTTGTGCAAAGTAGACATCCTGCCAGCATTGATTGCCCTGATTTCCAGGGTATTGACTGAGCAGGTGGTCTTGAGCTCGAGAGCAGATTGATATATTATTTTTAATTTTATTTATTTATTTATTTATTTATTTATTTATTTATTTATTTATTTATTTATTTATTTTTCCAAGACTCTGCAGGAAGTACTAGTTGAGGTGATATGAGCACCCCCAACTAGTATACCTGTACCTGTCACTCCATCTATTGGTGGGGAGCAGCACCTGCTGGAAACCGGGTCCAGCGTCCCATTGAGCACAAAATCTTGAGGAGGTAGGAGGAGGTAGGAGATGAATAGTGAACCTGTTCACCCAGGCCAGGGTGCCAGATGAACATGAAGCACTAGCCCTGCTACTCATCCAAGCCATACCATGATAATGGGACAATAGAATTCTGAGGTGGTGGGAAAGGGTTGGGGAAATCCCCCATTGGGCGAAGGGGAATTAAGGGATCTATCTCAGTCCATAAATTAAATACTAACTTGTAATTCCTATTTAGCCTTCCCCCTTCCTCGCCCGACTCACCATTCCACACCACCTTCCCTATCGTTCCCCCCTTCCCCCCCCCAACCAGACTATGCTGAATGATTGAAAGGTCTTGAATATATCTTTGTTGGAAGTGTTGTAGTGAATCTTTTCCCTAATTACTACCCATTGGTACAAGATATCTGTTTGAATTTGTTGTTTGATATTCTCAGTAAACTCAGGACCATCCAATCTAGCACCCTCCCATTCGTTAGTATAGCTTCTTTGTCATATGGCCCAAAGGATCGCTCTCCTACCCAGGGTAAACAGGTTCTGAGCATACTTGCGGCGCACCGGCACTGTGCGCTGCGCGGTGCGCTGCGCTGTGCGCGGACCCAGGGTGCGCGCGCCGCGCATCTGGGTGCGCAGTGCGCTGCGCACGTCTGGTGTGCTGCGCGCATGTGCGCAATGCATATTTCCATGTTCTAGCAGTGGATTCGTTTGATTTTGTTCTCTCTCTCTCTCTCTCTCTCCCCTCCCGACTTCTTCT